CCATTAATCGCGAGAAAGTTTGAATGGTGTCCCCTTTGTTTTCACCATACCGATGAAAGACGTTGTAGATATATTTTTGAAGATCTGTTAGATAAGAAATTTCTATCTTGTAAACCATCATTTTTGAATGGGATGCAATTAGACAGGTATAACGAAGAGTTAAAATTGGCATATGAATACCAGGGAGTCCAACATTTTACTCTTAATCAAATGTTCCATAAACGAGGTAGGATAGACTTGGGACAACAAAAAATCAGAGATCAAAAAAAGCGGGATATATGCAGAGAGCAGGGCATAGATCTTATCTGTATCCCATTCGATTGTGATTTATTTCCGTACATAAAAAGCGAATTACAAGAGAGAGGTTATTTATCATATAAAAAATAAACTCATAAGATAGTGGAGCTAGTATCTAAAGATACATAAATATGGCACATAATAAACTTGACCCGTGTGAGATCTTTGTACTCAATATCGATGAGTATACAAACCCAGAACGTTTTAATGGTATTAACTCATGCCCTCAGTGGCCTTTCAATTTATTAGTCAGTGGGCGGACAAGATCGGGGAAAACAAACATGATTATTAGTCTTTTACTTGGGGATAAGATGTTTCGAATGTTTGGTGGGAAAAAGGGTGGAACACGCTATATTAAGAATGATGATTTGGTTTTGATCGGACATCATCTTAAGGAACCGAAATATAGGCATTTGCGCGATTGTTATAGCATTATTGCAAATAGTCCCAAACAATATCGTGAAGATATTACATTCCGAGCAATGAAACCCGATAAAATACCAAAGATAGAAGAATTCTCTCCTGAGAGAGGAACAGTTGTTATATTCGAAGATGTATGTACCGAACCTAAAAAAATACAAGAAAAAATTGCTCGTTACTTCACTGAAGGGCGGCACTCTAATATTAGTAGCATATATGTTACACAATCCTTCTTCGACTGCCCAAAATTAATAAGAAAAAATCTCGATTATATTGTTCTCTTCAATGGTAGTGGCACATATGATGAACTAGCTAATATTGCTAGGCGGTACACAAAAAATTGGCGTAATGCCGTTGATATGCTTGATAACAATTTACAGGGTCGGGAATTTATTGTTATCGATTTAACTAGAGCTAAAGAAGACGCTCTTTATCTTCGCAAAGGATGGGATACCCCATTGAAATTAGATGAATAGAACGTGATTTTCAAAACAATAGAATAATAATTATTTTTTCGTTATGTGTTAGCATATTAATATAATACATCCTACTCGCCACTCTATTTTAAGAGCTGACCTTATCCAGCAGGTTTGTAGTTGAGGTGGATGTGAAAATAACGAACTTGATACATTATATACACTAGGAATTTTTGTGACCTATAAAAAAGACTTAACACGTAAAATCAAAGTAAAAAATGTTACCAGCTTTCCTTTAGGAAAGATAACGAAATAAAGTCTAAAGTACCAGCCCTCAGGGATACTTTAGGTCCCAAATGCAATCCACGTATGTTTTTCTAAAGAAAAACTAGACACACTAGTTTCTTTATTATGAAAATTATTAGGA